TTGCTGTGAGCTAGGCTGACGCCACGGCACTCTAGCCGGGGCAACACAGTGAGACTCTCTCTCAGAAAAAAAAGAAACAGATTTGTGCATCAAAAAAACAACTCCACTGGTGGTGTAGAGAAGGGACTGGGGGGAGACTGCAGACAAGGAGAAAAACAGCCAAGAACTCAAGACTAGAGGCTCACCAAAGGCCTAAACTATGCATTTGAGAGTAAAGAAGATGCAGCAAATTTAAGAAACCTTTAAGATAAAACTGATAGGACTTGGTTATTGATTAAACACTGTTACAGAAATGGATCCTCCAAGTTTGCTTAACATGCATCCGGGTGCATGATGATGCCATTAAACCAGCTCTGAACTTGCTGAGAGAAGAGGAAATGGGTTTTGTTGGTCATGATAGTATTATCTGGGAGAGACTAACAGCTTTTGGTATGAAAAAAATCCTTTTAGTGGAGTAATGGGAATAGGTGTGAATTTGCAATAAAAATAAGTGAGGTTATGAAACGGAGTTATGAAATATTAATATAAGACTAATTTTAAGAAGTCAGACTAGGTGGTGGCTGCAAGGAAAGAGTGACAAAGTCTTCTATTTCACAACTCTGCTTCACAGCCTCAACGGTTCTTCAACATTAATCCAAACCTGAAAAGGAGAGATGTAGTTTAAACGGAAAGGATTCCCCCTTGGGAAGTCCCAGATTGGATCAGCCAAGATGGAAAATCAAATAGGATAACCTTTTAATATGTACTGAGTCAAGCAGAAGATCACCAATCACCCTGAATATAAAAAGACAAAAAGAAACAAGACAACCACAGAACGTGAATAACCCAAAAAAAGGAGCCCTCCAACCATTTAAAAGAGCCAGTACATATAATATGTACTATATTTTTTTCATGTAAACCTAACAACTCCAATACAAGAAATAATGATTGGCATCTCCTCCATTCTGCAGGTAAAGAATATAAAGGACAGAGAAGTCAAAATTCCCCAATTTCCCAAGGTCACTTCAGACTAACAGCAAAATCAAGCCCATATTTGTCATTCTGCCATCTAGTGTAGTACTACTCCATACACCAAATCACGATTGCTGTAAAATAATTCAAAATGAGGTACGGAAGGCAACAGGGAGAGAACATGAGTGAAACTCAAGGAGCAGAGGAAGCAATCTGCAACGAATAAATAGCCGTTAGTGTTCAATGAGTCAGTCATTACCAGTCAGTCCCAGCTGTTTATGAAATGCCCCTGCATTGAGAAATGCTGCCAGTGGCATGTCATAAAGCTGACAGCCATAATTATGCATAAAATGTGACTCTGGAACATGAACAGGCACTATACAAGGAAATCTCCACACCTAATCCTAGTTCCTAACGAACCTCCGTAAATGACAGCCAGCCATCACGGAAGTATCAGGGAAACGTCTAGGAAATAAATACTTGAATAAACGCCTTCCTAAAGAAGCTTAGGATGGTGTAAATTTCCAGCTCTCTCAATAGGAACATGCCTTGCTGCTCACAACCACCAACCGACTCGGCAGTTTGGTAAAACAGACCCAATTCATTCTTTTCTTCTATGCACACAGCTATCTAGCACCTGTTCAGCTCCTCCCAAAGGGTGCACAGACGTCTTCACCAGCGTGAAGCAAAGGAAGACAGAGAGAGCCAAGTCAGGATAACGCGTTAAGATAGAAAGAAAAGACGTTGGAGTCACAAGAGTAGACATAAAGAACTAGAGTCAAGAAAAAGTGAGTCGGGAGGAAAAAAGGAACTAGGGAACCACCTACCCCTTGGTAAAGATAGTACGAATAAAAGCCTCCCAGCTCCGGGCCGGAGCAGAGGAGCGCAGAGGCCTAGCTGGCCTTGGAGCAGGACCTGGGTCTGTAACTCCTCAGCTGAACTGGCATTCTTGGGAAAACAGCTGACACCATCAAGTCCTCTTCTCCTACATGCGCCACGAGCTGTTCCTGAAGCAGAAAGGCCCTCGTGTCCCTCCCCCGGCCGGCCCCTAGAAAGGAAAATTACTCCCGTCACGGGGAAAAGCAAAGGTCTTTCTCGGGGCCGTTACTTACCTTCCCGCTCACAACACCAGCCGCCGCCATGTTTCCTGAGCGTGCCTAGTGATGACGTAGCGGCGCCTCACGTGTCTCTCAGACTCACAACAACATCCGGCAAAACTGAAATAACATCCGGGCGGGAAAGGGGCGGGTACTGGCGGGAAAGGCACAGAGGAAAGGGGCGGGGCGCAAAAAAAAAAAAAGACGCCTGACTCCTGCGCGCTGAATAGGGCTCTGAGGCCGCTGGGGTGGAGTCTCAGGCGCAGGACTGCGCATGTGCCAATTTATTTTTTTTAGCTGGGTCGCTGAATCGAGTTGTCATTATATGTGTTGGGGTTTTCCTGGGACGAGACTTGGACCCTACGGCAGGCAACATCAGTTTGGTGTGATGGAAGGAATGCCATATTGGGAGCCAGCAAACATAGTCCTGGCTTTGCGGTAAGCAAGTCACCAACAGGCCCTAAACCTCAGTTGCTTCGTTTTAAAATCGATATAGTAGCATTGCAGTGAGTATTAAAGAAATCCCAGCCCTCTATCGGAGGCACACACACGGAGAATTTTCCCCTCTATGTGAGGTTTCTGAATTTGGTTCTGATCACCGACACTCACACATGACCCCGAGCAAAGTATTTTGATAGGAACTATGAAAATACCACGCCCTCATTGCTCCAAAGTCTAATGCACATAGTTTATAGCTCCTACACAGTTACTTAATAGCTGTATGACTTGAAACAAGTTTCTAAATTCAAGCTTCAGGACGTAAAGTGGGAATTACCCAATGATTATAGGGATCTCGAAGGACAATGGGTATGTAGTAAGATGATTTGTAAAGGTATTAAGATAAGAATTTGATTGGTTCTCAGTGCTGTAAAAGAATGCAGGGAGGATTCTGTTCCCCACCCCCCATCCCCTTTGACGACTAAGGCACAAGATCTGGGACTTTCCTGGCCCCAGGGTAAAATAAAAAGCCCCTTTGCACCAAAAACACCTATGCCGGTTGAGGTTAGAGAGGTTAGAGGCTTTTGGGTTTGAGGTAAGTAGCAACCAAAGGGAACAACAGAAAAGGACAGTTGCAGGTTCTATGAATATTAGGAACTTAGATAGGAATGGATGTGTAGCACCATTAGGAAGGCTTCACACAAGGCATCAGAGATTCCAACCACGATCAAGACCCTATGGCCACCCTTGGCATTGAATCAGGAAAGCTGTTCACCTGTAAGGGATGAATGAGGTGGAAAGATGAGCATATTATCGGTAACCAGCATTGAGTGAAGACTAGAGGGTCTTTTCCAAATGTACTAAACTGAGGCCCCTAGAACCTTCCAATAATCTTGGGTGTGGAGTAGAGAGTCCTAATAATGACCCAAATTAAATTTTCTATCAACTCAGAGCAATGGGGTGTGGTTAGAGAAAACTTTTAATGTGAATTTCTTGTACCCTGTGTTTTGGAGAAAAGTTGAAGCCCTTAGCACTGTGCCAGGAATACAATGCTCAATAAATGGTAGCATTAATTAATGCTTATTTATATAAGCAGTGTGGGAACTAAAGGCTTCTCATTGAAAAGCCTCATTAGCATTCCAGGTTCATCTGCTATTTCTTGACCTTCTTAAGCCTCAGGCTCCGTGCCGACGTTATCCATGGGTTCTCCTTAAAGCTCTTTTGCTTTTTCTCCAAACACTATTCCTGGGCCATTATCCTCATATTCTGGCATCATCAGCTCCTATGTGCTCATGTTTCCCAAATATCTCCAGCCCAAGTCTCTCTTTATTTCCTAAACTCTAGACCCTACGTGTACTGCCTGTTGGACTTTTTACTTGAATAACCTACTCATACCTCAAAAAATCCTACACCTTTGATACTCAGAGTATGATATGCAGACTAACAGTACCTGGGAGCTTATTAGAAATGCAGAATCTTGGATCCCATCCCAGAAATACTGAGCAAAATTTGCATTTTAACAAAATCCCCAGGTGATTTGTATGCATATTAAACTTTGAGAAGCACAGTCTTAAATGAAACTTTATTTTGCTTTTGTTCCCTGGAAATTAGTACACTTTGCTGAACTAGAGATGTAGCCAGAACACAATTTCTCAAGAAAAGTTTTGCTATGATGGTAGTTCTTTGACATATGTCTTCTGGAGAGCTGTTGGGAAGCACTCTCACTATGGTTGGGACAATTACTGTGGTATCTTTGTTCATTCCCTTGCTTTCTACTTCATCTTCCCCCAGCCCATCATTCATAGTCCTGCCAGATTAATCTTTCTAAAGCATAAATGTAATCATGTAAATTTCTTGCTTAAAATCACTTAATGGCTCCCCATTTCCCTAGGAAAAAGTCCAAATTCTCCAGCATAGCATACAAGGGCCTTCATAAACTATTCCTGCCTACCATTTTAGTTTTGTCTCTTAACTCTCCCCATTCAGGCCCAGTTTTCCACCCATAGCCAAATATCTGCTGTTCCCCGAATGTACTATATTGTGTCTCAAGATTGCTTCTGACTGTAGCAGACTGTCTTGGCTTGGCTTATGGGACAGCCACTGCACCAATCACCGTGGCCCAAAGTATGTGATGTTCTCAATTTAAGCAAAACAAAACAAAACGCACACTACTAGCCTAACCTCCATTTGTCCCCCTTTTCCCCATATAATCAATGTTTATTTAGATTTCACTGTTTACCATTTTCTTTGCTTGTCTTTGTCCCCTCACCTTTGAGTATACATATAATTGACAAATAAAAAATTATATATATTTACAGTGTACAAAAAAAAAAAAAACACCAAAGTACATGATGTTCTAATTGGCTAGGTTTGAATCTGGCCAATTAGATTTGAATATGCCCATAGCTCCACTGAAATAACATGGAATGGCAGAGAAGTAATTCCCATAGAAAACTCAGGAACCACTCCAGGAAAAAAGGGGAGTGGTGCTGGGCAAGCCAAAACAGATATCTATTACAAAGATTCTGTTTCTGTGCTCCAATATTATTTTACAGTAGTATCACACTGTCAAATACTTTGTGGTTTACTGAACTGCCTTACCTACCAGGCCATGAACTAGGCAAGGACTGTGCTTTTCATTTCTGTGACCACCAGACCTGGCACAAATACCTGACACATAGTAGATGTGAAGTGTTTGTATAACAGATTAATTTGAATCAATTCCCCTATTTAGAAATGGCACAGTTATAAGTTAATAGAAGAAAGAGACCTATTTTCCTTTTCCTTTTTTTTTTTTTTTTTTGAGACAAAGTCTCAAAAAACCATTAGGAATGGTTTCAGGTTTTAGTTTTCTGTTACACTAGAGGGAAAAACTCATAGTGCACTTACATATAGCAAGTGAACAGATTTTTTTTAAAGCAGTATGCATATAAAATTTAATGTAAATAAAGTCATTAAGTTCCCTATAACTCTAAATAATTACTGTTTTGCTAAGAGTAATTTCAAAGCTCTGGATTCATCTCTACAAACTATATAATCATTCACTAATTATAATTTATCACTCAAAAAGTCATATGATGCAAAAGAATCTTAGTAGTAAATACCTTAAAGAAACTTTAGACCCAGGAGGGACTTTACAGATAATCTCCTCAAGTTATTCAAGTGAAGAGATGGAATCTCTTAGTGATTAATGACTTGCCAAAGTCACAAGCTGCTTGAAGGCTGAATAGAGACTTCATTCCATATACATGTCTTAGTCAGCTGTGCTACATTATCAGCTGGAAGTGATCATTCCCATCCCTGAATTACAGCATTTGATTACTGTTCAATTTGATTCTCTTTCACCTCAGTTTCTGGCTGGCCTACTTGTCTTTCCAACTTATTTCATGCCCCACTTCATCTATTATGATTCCCCCAACTTTTCCACTAATTGATCTCTACCTATTCTGAACCCTCCCAAGTAGGTAGGACTACAGGCACGCACCACCACGCCCGGCTAATTTTTTTTTTTTCCCACTTAATTTTTTTCTATTTTTAGTAGAGACAGGGTCTTGCTCTTGCTCAGGCTGGTCTTGAACTCCTGACCTCAAGCCATCCTCCTGCCTCTGCATCCCAGAGTGCTAGAATTATAGGCGTGAGCCATACAGACTTGTTCTTGACAATTTTGGCTAGTGCTAGAGTCTCTGTTTCAGCATTCCCAAAGTTCAGTATTCCACAGCTATGTTAGTATATGACCATAGCAACCTGGCTCTCAACTGTTTGGTTTTTTTTTTTATTTCAGGATATTATAGGGGTACAAATATTTTGGTTACATGTTATGACTTTGCCACACCCAAGCCATGATTTGAGGCATGCCCTTTTCCCCCAACAATGCTCACCACGTCCATTAGTTGTGAGTTCACCCACTCTCAACCCCCCTACCCCCAAAGAATATTACTACTGTGTGAGCACCTTAGTGTTGATCAGTTAGTGCCAATTTGATGACGAGTACATGTGGTGCTTATTCTTCCATTCTTGTGATAACCTCACTTTGGAGGATGGGCTCAAGCTCTATCCAGGAAAATATAAGAGGTGCTAGATCACCATTGTTTTTGTAATTCAGTAGTATTCCATTGTATACATATACCATATTTTTATTCAACTTTTTGCTTATCTAGATAGACTACCTACTAGTCTGACTTGCTGCTACACCATCCTAATTTCTTTTTCCGCAATCCTGGCTCCCCAGACCCAGCCTGCTTGGGCTACTCTGAACCCAACTCACATATGTTTGTTACTCTGTAAGGACAGATGCTTTGGAGAACTCATTTGCCTTCCATGTGACAGTGCCTCAAATAGTATGGTTTATTCAGAGTCTAGTTGTGAAGTGCAAGGATCTCTAATCTTTCGGGATGTTATGAGTGAACATTCCCAGTTATTTCTAAAAATAACCAATGAAATATACATAAATCTGAAAATTAGCCTATTTTAAGAGCTTAAGAGAAATAGAACTAAGCCCAGAGACAATTATTAATATATATAATTTTTGTATAAATGTTTATAAAAATTATTTCAAATTTTATTTTAAAGTTTAAATATAATGAAATTCCTAGTATTTCTTTGTGTCC